GCATTTATATTGTGATGTATAAAAAGCATTCAATTGCCCAATCTTCCGAGGGGTGGCTGTGGGTTTGAACTGCCAGCCTTCTAGTTAGCAGTTAAATCCCTTAGGCACTACACCACCAGAGCTCCTAATACTACAATAGTAATATTTACTGAGGGTCTACTGTGTGCCAGGGACTGTATACACACACACACATATATCTCTACTCACAATAATCCTTTAATAGCACACTATATCATCATTCTTAAGAAAACCTGTGACTATTGGGGTTAAGTAACTTGTCAACAATTTATTAAGTAACAACTAATAAGTGGTAGAAAGAGCTCTAGTTAAGTGGTTAAGGCATTTGGCTGCTAACCAGAAAAGGTCAGTGGTTTGAACCCACTAGCCGTTCCATGGAAGAAAGATGAAGCAAGTCTGTTTCTGCAAAGATTTACACCCTTGGAAACCCAGTGAGAGTTGCTGTGAGTTAGAATCTACTTGACAGCAGTGAGTTTGGTTTTTCTGAGTAAGTGGTAAGAGACAGGATCAGAGTTCCTGTGTTCTGGAGCCAACTCCCTAAGACCTTCCATCATCAGGCCCCTCTAAGTGGCACAGTGGTTAAGCACTTGGCTGCTAACCAAAAGGTTAGTAGTTTGAAACCACCAGCTGCTCCACTAACTTTGGAGCACCAGTTGAGAATGTTGTAGCAATGAGTTCTGTTATGTATTGAATTGTATCCCCCAAAAATGTGTTGTACATCCTCACCCTTATACCTGTGGACATAATCCCATTTGGGAATAGGGATTTCTCTATTGTGCTAATGAGTCATAAGAGTGTAGGGTGTGTCTTAAATCAACCATTTTGAGATATAAAAGAGGAGATTAGGCACAAAATAAAAGGAGTACAAATAAGAGACACTGAACCACATGGAGATCTCCAAGGAACCAAAGAAAAGATGCAGCAAGAGACAAGGATTTTCCCCTAGAGTAGACAAGAAAGCTATCTCCTAGAGCTGGTGCTCTGAATTTGGATGTCTAGACTTCTAATGGGAGCTCTGGAACCGTAGTGCCTAAGGCACTTGACT